TAATGTTGAAAAAATCTCTAATTGATCATCTCGACATCAAGATGTAAGAATATGAAGTCGAGATATAAGAATATGAAGAAAAAAAAGATTGAGTCCCATAAATAATGCATCTTGCAATACATTTCTTAGACCATCTATTTTCAATATTATCATATGTTTATAGATCTAATTGATTTTAACCATTTTTAGAGTTTAAAATTTTATAATTAAATATAAAAATAGATTTTGAGATAATCTTAACAATTTTTTTCACCAAAATTATATGTTATGATAAAATTTGGAGGCGTGCCTTAATTGGATTGTTGAAGGTTGCAACCTTATAGAAACCACACCCATTAGGAAAGGAACTGTTAAGTTTGGGCATATTAGGGTTTCTGAATTAGAAAGTTTGAGTTGATGTATTTGTAAGTGACTTTTGAGGTTTTAATAAAGAGATTGTATACAATAAGGCCATTTACTTTTGATACAAGATGGTCACAATTTCTCACAACTATTTGATGTGAAATTTGATGGCTTGGATGTATCACTAAGTTCGAAATTTTTTTAAAAAAAAATTTGAGCTTAGTTAATGGAATAATTGGAATCACCCAATTTCACATCCAATAATTAAGATTAATGTGACCACCTTGTATCATTCATAAATGGCCTCATTCTATACTTTTCCTTTAATAAAATAGAAGATTGGTTGAAAAATGTGACTTTCAAACCGCATATTTGTTAGGAAAAAGAGCAAAACCAAAAGAAATTCCAAGTGTTAGGGGATTTCAAAACGTTGATAGGCAATTTAAGAGTCACACTCTCGAACTACGTAAAATATGAAAAGATAAAAATAAAAATGCAGCTCCTAATTTTAAATTGGGCGTGGTTTTTATAAGGTTGCAACAATTCTTCATGTAACTTTGGTATAAAAACTTCTTAGGATTATCTGAAAAGCTATTTTCATATCTAATTATAAAATTTTAAACTAAAAAAGTCGTTAAAATTGAGTAGATCTATAAACCTATGAATTTTTTTAAAATGGATGATCTACATAATGTGTTGTATGATATACAATTTTTTAGACTCAAAATCTTTTTTTGTTTTTTTTTGTTTTTCATATTCATACATCTCGATGTCAAGATGATCAATTAGAGGGTTTTTCAATATTAAAACAACATTTTTTGACAGATTTTTGAGGTACATCTTTAATTCTACATTTTAAGATTGCAACCTTGTGTATATTTTTTTGTAATATCAAACTGCTTGAAAGGTTCAAAATTGAACTCTCCAACCGCGTTGCAATAAGGGTCAACATGGATTGTGATGACCTAAGTGCCCTTTAGACACAATAGGGTAATTCCAAAGATGAAGTTCCAACCTTTCAAATATTTAACTCTACTTTTAAATCGGGGGGAATATCCAAATAAACAGCTTCTGAAAACCCTTAGTATAAGCACTCCAAAAAAAAAAAAAGACTATTTTTGGTTTCCAAAATTTATTTATATATATATATATATATATATATATATCTTCAGAGATTTCCAGTGTACCCTATCATTTTTATTTATTTTTTCTATATAAGATGTGTTACTATGATGATGAGTGCTCTCTCTCTTCCATCGCCCGTCTTCATTTTATCTCCACTTGCTCCAAAAATTAGGTCAGTAAAAATACACCTGCCTGTCAAAAAATTCTCCTACCTATGTTTTGCCCGGCGTAAACGTAAATTTAGCTCCCACGAGCAAACTCTTAATAATTTGTCTCTCATGAAAGTAATATCTCTCTCTCTTGCCTGAGGGAGTAAACGTATATTTAGCTCCAACAATAGAATGTTCTTATTGGAAAATCCATAAATTAATGGTATAATCTTTCTCTTCTCTATTTCTTTCTCTCTCATATGTCCATGACGATTTTATTAGGGCGGAAAGAAAGGAAAAAGTTTATATAATGTTGCAACCTTAAAATGTAGAATTATATATGCATCTCAAAAATCCATCAGAAAATGTTATTTTAATGTCGAAAAACCCTCTAATTGAGCACCTCGACATCGAGATGTATGATCATAAAAGAAGAAAAGATTTTGAATACCATAAATAATGCATCTTACAACACATTATCTAAACCATCAATTTTTAAAATTTTCATATGTTTATAGATCTACTTGA